CACACACACACACACACACACACACACACACACACACACACACACACACACACACACACACACACACACACACACACACACACACTCACTCACATGCGTCGGCAGGCCGGTCCGAGGACATCCAGTATGTTGCTGGACCCACAGCCCGCTTCACCCTCACCACAGATGCAGAGTCGTACAGTCAGGGAGACACCGCCACCGTGACGGTCACTGCAGAGGACGACTATGGCAACACTGTCACATCAGAGTCGCGAGCTCTGGCCATCGTCACAACCGCAGGCAACTCTGTGACCGTGTCCAACAGCGGCATCCTCTCGTTTTCCAGCGGTGAAGCTGATGTGACCATCACCAGCGCAAGCGCCCAGGTGAACTCACGCTTCTGCCGTCACACGTGTCTCCTTGTGTGGCTTCCTTGCTTTCCTGGTGCAACCCCCCCCAAACGCCCTCAGTGCGCTTGTTTCTCGTGGAAGTTGCGTGGGTGTGCCTGTGAACCGCAAAACACACGAGACTTGTGAATGAGCTGCGCCCCATCCTTTCCTCGCTTACGCACCCTGACCCATGTCACTACAGGTCGTGGAAGTGGCCTTGGATGCAAACGGAGAAGATGTGACTGGCGTGGACATCTCAGACACCAGCACCCTGCTCTTCGCCGTTGGTAAGCCCTGTGTGCGCGTGTTCGTGTGTGTATGTATGCATGTGTGTTGTTGCATGTGTACATGCGTATGTGTATGCGGGTACGCATACATGTATGTATCCACAAACGCGTGTCTACACGTGTCGCTTCATGCTCAACTTCACTGCACGTGCTGCCGGTGGGCAGCTGGGAGGTTGACACGTGATCCACGCCGTTCATGGATCCCGCTTCTCATTGTGCGGTTCTTCTTCCACTCATACGTGGGCATCTCTTGTGAATGTGTGCTTGCAGTGTGCGACGGCGTCACAGAGTACCAGGACGAGCCTAACCAGCTGACGTGCAAGACTGTGCGCAGCGTGAGTCCCCCTTGATACGTTTCATGTTCTGCCAATCATACATGCCCAAGTTCCCGTGCTGCCATCTACTCTCCCTGCTTGCGCGTTGCTCACCACAGCACTGTATTGCTCCATTGTTTTGCCATGCTCATGCGTCATGGCGCGCCCGTGATCGTAATCGTGGCCGTGGCAACTCACTCCGTTCTTGGCACGGGTGTATTGTCTCTACGGTTTCCTGCAGGACTGTGGTGTTGGGACATTTGAATCTGCTGCTCCAACGCCAACCTCAAACCGGGAATGCAGCGCTTGTGACGGTGTCACTGAATACCAAGATGAGGTACGTGGTGCTGCTTGTCATACAGAGTCGCTCTCCTCGTTGGTGCCGTCTGCGTGCGTACGTGCGTGCGTGCGTGAGTGAGTGCGTGAGTGCTGTCCGTGGCCGTCGTGAGGAATAGCCATGCACCATCACCATTCTCCGCGTCACACGCGTTTTGTGCGCCGTTGTTCTCCACCGCTTCACGCAAGCCCGCGTCCATCACCTCCTTCACATGTCACTCGCGTCTGTTCCTTGGCTTTGCCTGCACAACACCAGGCGAATCAAACCTCATGCAAGACAGTCGCTGGCACGTGCACCGCTGGCGAATATGAGGCGCAGAGTCCGGACGCGTCGACAAATCGCATGTGTACGGCCTGTGATGGCGTCACCGAATACCAGGATGAGGTACGTCAATCTCTCCAACAGCTTGCTCCTTACACTCTCGACCTTGCACTGTGCACCTGTTGCGCAACACGCGCGCACGCGTTGTGCGTGTTTTGTGCACGCGCGATCGAAGTGTCTCGGTGCATGTGCATACGTGTGCACGTGTCCACATGACCATGGTGCCGTACATGTTCTCGTGCCAACACAGTGCTCACGCATTTCACTCGCCACCCATTTGCTTCTGATGTGTCTGGGGCTGCGAACGGCAGGCGGATCAGAGTGAATGCAAGACCGTGCGAGTGTGCAATGTTGGCGCACAAGTGAGCGTCGATCCAACCCCAAGCTCAAACCGACAGTGCGAGCTCTGTCCATCCGGTGAGCAATGAGAGCGGGAGGCATGTGGGTAGTTCGTGTGCTGTGTGTGTGTTTATGTGTGTGTTTATGTGTGTGTTTGTGTGTGTGTGTGTGTGTGCGTCATTGACTGATACATTGCTCTTGCGTGTTACCTGCATCTGCTTTGATTGTGCCTTTGCGCAGGCTTCGTTGATGAGGACTTCAATGGCCTTACACCGTGCTCGCCCTGGTGAGACAGACACATATGCATGTGTGTGTGTGTTTTGCTTGCGGTGCGTGTGTGTGTGTGTGGTTTCGCGCGTGTGTGTGGTTTCGCGCGCTTGTGTGCGTGCAGACGTGCATGTGATACAATACACAGCCAGGCACATCCTGTATTGTATTACATCCTGCGTTCTCACAGTTTGGTTTTGTTACAGCTCTGCGTCTGTGGTGATGATGGCGACATTCGACAGCGATGATGCCATGGGCACAGTGACGTTCAATGCAAACGCTGCCACCACCGAGACCAACATCACTGCGCAGGTGACCCTTGCCACTGCAGCAACCTCGCTCAAGGTACGCGCATCCGTGTGCACACAAATGCGCGCGTGTGCGCATTCAGGGTTGCGTGCGGGTTGCTCTGTGTGTGTGTGTGTGTGTGTGTGTGTGTGTGTGTGTGCTTCACGGTTCTCATGCCATGTTGAACCCTTGTGCTATGCGTCCCTTCGCCTGCACCCATGCGCAGGTGCTTACCTCTCCGCCTGTACGAGGCACATGCGCGTCCGCCCTTTTCAACCCAACCAGCGTAAGTTGCAGAAACCCAGCACTGCACGTGAACTGTTTGCGCCACACACACACACACACACACATACACACACACACACACACACACACACACACACACGCACGCACACACCACTGTTGTGGGGCTTGCTTTGTCTCACCCCATTTCTGCTGTTGTACGTGTGTGTGGTTCGTCTTATCGCTTCGTCGCAGTCTGACGGATCTGGCTGCTCATCATCATCGCCATCGTCGTGCATCGCTGGAGACATCAGCGGTCGCTTGACTGTCGATCTTTCAGCACAGGTTAATTGCACACACTCCCTCACCCTTACCCACCCACCCACACACACACCCACACACACACCACACACACACACCCACACACACACACACACACACACACACACACACACACACACACACACACACACACACACACACACACACACACACACACACACACACACACACACACACACACACACACGCACAGACACACGCACAGACACACACACACACACGCACACTCACTCTGAAATCATTGGCTTTACTGCTTCTGCTCTGGTCTTGTGTTGCTCGTTTATCGAACGTTGCATGCTTTCCCCCTGCCTTCTTGTCCATGTCTCTTTCTCACTCACGCTTGCTCTTCGCACACCTTCTCACCCACTCACGCACCATGCACATGTGCACGCGACCACCTTCGTTGCACTCATCTCGTCTGCACCCATAGGGGACAATGGTTGCATTTGAAGAAACCACGACTGCGCTCGCATTTATCGGAGCGACAAGTCTTCAAGGCCGCGCCCTTGTGTTTGAGGATGGGGGCGGAAATGTGATTGCGTGCGCGCGCATCGACACAGTGTCAGGACTTTCGTTCCAGTCAAACGCAGGACAAACCATGTGTACAGAAGTCACGCCGTGTTCGGTGCGTATGCTTATGCTTACATTGTGCGTGTTTATGTGTGCCTGTGTTCTCTGCTTCTGTGCCAGTCTGCGTCTCTGTGCGCCCTTGCGTTGTGGCTGACGCAAGGATTCTTCACAGTGCTTCCGCGTGATTGGTTCCAACGCATCAATCTAATGCTCCAAATCCATGAACGCACGACGCGACTTGACATGGCGCGTCGCAGGTTGGCCAGGAAGAGCTGGTTGCTCCTACCACGTCAAGCGACCGCCAATGCAGTGCCTGTGACGGGGCAGCCTTCTTTCAGGTGGGTGACGGATATAACACGTGGCTGCTTCCTGCCAACCAGCGAATATGCTTTCATGCCCCCGCTTACACTCACTCTCTCTCTCTCACACACACAATGTGATTGCAGGCGGAGGAAGATCAGCGCTTCTGCATCGATGTGCGTGAATGTCCACTTGGAGAAGAAGAGGCTGTGGCACCAACTGCATCAAGCGACAGGGAGTGCCAGGTACGCAGCACCAGCACCGAATCTTGCTTATCATATGGGCTTTGCTTCGTACTTTGTACATCTTGTGACTATGTGCAAGCGCGCGCGTGTCCTGCCCCGTGCAGTCTGCTCCCTGACGTTACTCTGAGCACATTTCTTCACGCATTCACATTCACACACATATCCCCCCACACACACATCTGCATGCTGCATGTAGACTGTGACGTGTCCTGGCCTGTCTGCGCCTCTGTATGGCTCAATCACCACATGCAGCGGTGATCAAGACTACGGCACCTTCTGCAACGCCACATGCAACACAGGAGACGGCTTTGAACTCACAGGTATGAGTGTGGGCGCGCGTGTGTGTATGTGTGTATGTGTGTACGTTTGTATATGTGTGTATGTGCTCGTGTTCATGTGTGCAGTTTGTGTGCAATTCTGGTACATCCATTCAACGAGACCATTTTCCTGCAGTACCCACCCAATCCCTTCCCGTGCAAGTGTCACCTCACACGAAAAACCTTGTCACACCACATTATCACCCCTTGACAGGCACGGCAAATCGGCGATGCACCGAGTTTGGCACGTTCAGCGGAACAAAGGCGGAATGCGTGTGTAGCGGTGACCTCTTCCTCGGTGAGAGCATGTACTATAGTGGATGCGTCCGCTGAAGCCATACGCTTCTCCGACACCCGGACGCACGCATACAAAAGATATGCACGTGCAAACACTGACAAACACACACGCAAGCAACCACACACATACACGCAAGCAACCACACACACATACAAGCACGAACACACACACACACACACACACACACACACACACACACACACACACACACACACACACACACACACACACACACACACACACACACACACACACACACACACACACACACACACACACACACACAAACGTACTCACACAAACATATATACGCACACACACACAAACACATTTCCCTCCACGAACGTGCTCAAACACAAACACATGCGCCATCTTGCATTCCACACCTGACGATGAACCCAACATCATATGCACAACCAGATCCTGTTGCGGAGGAGTGTGTTGCCAAGTGTCCGACTGAAACATACACTGACTCCGACGGCGTGTGCACGGCCTGTCGTGCAGTGTGCGAAGATGGTGTCAACTACGAGACCGTTCCATGCTCGCAGGTGTGGTTGCGATCGCTTGCTTGTGGAGCGCCTGACTTGCAGATGCATCTTCATCGACATCTGTTATTTCCTCTCAATCCATCACCGCACACCTTTTTGATATGTACACACACACACACACACACACACACACACACACACACACACACACACACACACACACACACACACACATTCATACTTGTGCATGGGGCAGGTGAACAACACGAATCGCGTCTGTGCAACGTGTCGGACTTGCCCTACCGGCGAATTCAAGACGGGCGGCTGCGCTGCTGGGGAGGACACCATCTGTTCCACATTCAGCGTACGTGACACACACACACATACATACACACACACACACACACACACACACACACACACAAATACATATACATACCACCTGTTTTGCCAAACGCCTGTTCCTCGACGCTCACGCGCTGGGACTCATTGCTGCCCACCGCCTTGTTTTCACTTCATCGTTCATGTGTGCTTAGGAATGTGCGTCTGGCGAATTCGAGAGCTTTCCTGGGAACGCAACCACAAACCGACGATGCGACATGTGCACACCATGCCCGCTCACCGAGTTTGCCGAAACAGGTGTGCTTGCTTGCGTGTGCTTGCGTGCACGCTTTCGTGCACGCTTGCGTGCCATGTCGTGGAGCTTGTTGACCGCGCGCGCGTGTGTGTGTGCATGTGTGAGCGCCACTCTTCTGCCGTGTGCTCACTTCTCTTCAATGGCTGCCGCAACACAGGGTGCTGCAGTGATATCGACACGCAGTGCCGGGCGCTGACTGTTTGCGTCGAGGGGGAATTTGAGGCGCGAGCACCATGGGACGCACCACAGGTCTGTCACGAAGCGATGGCGTGTGATGAGCATCGATTGTGAATGTCCCTGTACACGTGCATGGCGCCTTATCTTCCTTGTTTTGGGACTTGGTGCCTTTGTTGCGTTCCACCTGTTGCTGTTATTTGCTTGCCCCTCCTTCCCCATTCCTGCCACTCAACCCCACCACCCCTCCCTCCGCACATGCCTGCAATCACTGGTGCAGGGTGGGTACGCCACGGATCGCGTGTGCCAGCGCTATCGCACGTGCGCAGAGGGCGAATATGAAGTGTTTGCTGGCAACACCACACACGATCGAGTGTGCTCTCCCTGCACCGTGTGCTCTGACGGGATGTATGCAGCCCAGGCGTGCACGAACACTTCAGATGCTGTCTGCATGCCCCACACCAACTGCACGTGAGTACTTGTGTGTGCGTGTGTGTACGCGCGCGTCTATTGGCATGCTTTTGACTTTGCAAACACGTGTATGCGTTGGTATTGGTATGGTTTGTGCTGCAGCTTTGTCCTGCTTTGCCTTTAATCACCCACGTTCGGTTCCGTGCGCTTGCTTTCAATGACTCCCACCCATCCATCCGTTCTTGCACGCTGCAGGGCGGGACAATCATATGTGTTCACGCCGCCATCTTCCTACAACGACACTGTTTGCGCACAATGCACCGAGTGCTCCCCGTGCGTTTACCAACAGCCAGCGACTGCTGTGGTTGCTGCTGCCACGTCTTGGTGTCTTGGCTTGCCTGCTTGTTGTAACGTCGTGTAAGTCGAGGTTGTGTTGTCACATCATCTCACAGCAACTACCGCTTTGTGCATCACTGTGCAGGCACGAGTATCAAGCAGGTGGCTGCGACGGGACCGGTGAGCGAGTGAGCGAGTGGGCGAGTGACCACGCGACGTCACATGCACTCGTTGTCGTACGTGTGCATGCATGCACGGCGAGGAGCACATGAATTCAATACTTACTCCTTCCCGTTTCCGCGCCCTTCACATTGCCATTTACAATGCGCAGTGGACACGCTGTGTGCCCTGAAGACCGTGTGCGATCCGCTTACGGAGTACGAGTCATTTCCTGGAAACGAAACAGCAGACAGAGGTGAATTCACACTGTATTTTATCAATGGGCGTGTGCATGCACGCGTTGAGATTTGTTTTCACACCGCTCGTTGTTGTTGTTGTTGTTGTTGTTGTTGTTGTTGTTGTTGTTGTTGTTGTTGTTGCTCCTTGTTGCCGTGGTGCAATGCGCGTGTGTTCTATGTGTGCTAAGTGTCTCACACGTCGTCCCTGACGCTGCTGGTAATGATACATGTGATGCAGAGTGTTCGACATGTTCCACGTGTCCCAGCGGTCAAATTGCCACCAGCGCATGCACCAGCACCATGGACACTGTCTGCGAGGAAGACAATGGTGGTAAGCTGCGTTGCCGTAGAATTGAACACAATTGCATGGAGATACTTGCAAATGTCGTCACCCGGCGAAGAAATGAAATGTGCACACACACACACACACACACACACACACACACACACACACACACACACACACACACGCACACACTTTGACACGCTCTTACCCACATGTGCACATATGCATGCGCATTCTTGTCAATCTCAACCACGTGTTTGCTGTGTCCCATCATTGTCGTTGTTTGCAGGCATGGCTGCGTGCCCTCGCGGGCAGGTGTTGATTGGCACGCCACCAAACGCGGTGTGCGTCGAATGCAGTGACTGTCCAAATGGCACGTGGGCTGAAGTGAGTGCACACGCAATCGGGTGCCCTGTGTCCTGTCGTGTCCTGTCATATCCTGTCATGTCCTGTCATGTCTTGACGTGGCTGCCTCAATGACTGGCATGTACACCACCAGCCCACTTTTATTCGCACTGAAACCATGCATCGCCCATTCGCGCATCGTTCAGGGTGGCCCGAGCTGTCCAAGCGGCTTCCTCAGTCCCGTGTGCACGGCGGTGACCACGTGTGAGGACGGGCAGTACATTTCGCAGCAGCCGACCCCGACATCAGATCGCATCTGCAGCACGTGCTCTGCCTGTTCCAATGGTTTCTTCAGGGTGAGTTCGGGCACATTTTTGTGTGCGTGTGTGTGCTTTTGTGTGTGTGCTTTTATGTGTGTGTGTGTTTTGTGTGTGCGTGTGCGTGTGTGTGTTTTGTGTGCGCGCGTGTGCGTGTGCGTGCGTGTGTGCGTGTGTGTGTGTTTTGTGTGTGCGTGTGCGTGTGTGTGCGTGTGTGTGCGTGTGCGTGTGTGTGTGTGTTTTGTGTGTGTGCGTGTGTGCGTGTGTGTGCGTGTGCGTTTGTGCGTGCTTGTCTCTGGTATCTGTTTGCTTTACTTTGTGTGCTCGTGTGTGCATGTGCATGCATGCATGCATGCATGCTATTGCGGTGCTGTTGGTGAAATCCAAACCAGCACTTTCATCTCACCTGCGCACCACGACGACGTCCAATTTCATCAGAGCGGCGGATGCAACGGCACAGAGGACTCGCAGTGTTCTGCTGCCCACACCTGCGCACAGGACGAGTTTGAGATCACACCGCCAGGGCCACAGGTTCGTCAATATGTGCATGCCAACGTGTGCATGTGAGCGCATCTGCGTAATTGTGTGCGCTTGTGTTTTTCTTCCCATCACTGCTGGATGTCGTCGTCCCACCTAAGCGCTGATTGTCTCTGATGACACAAGCACGTGGTTCTCATCGCCCTACAATACTGTGCACACACACACACACACACATGCATCTCAGAGTGACCGCGTGTGTAGTCCTTGCCGTCAGTGCGAAGAGGGCGAGTTTGAAATCCAAGCATGCACAGCTTCCAGCGACACCATCTGCCGCACGTTCCAGGTTCGATGATGCGATGATGGTGTGATGATGGGATGAAAGGATGGTGGCGGTGCTTATTCTGTAACTCGCAACCCATCATCACACCACCTCCCCCCCCCCCTCTTTTATCCATTCTTGCTCGTTTACAGGAGTGCAGCACGCTCGAACGCGTGATCGCAGAGGGCACAACAGGGTCTGATCGTGTGTGTCACATGTGCGCTGGCCGCCGCGCTGGTGTTGTGGAGGATCGAACCCAGTGTCCACCCTTTGCTCTGAGCCTCTGTGAACCAACAAGTTGGTAGCTTCGCGTGTGTCACTTACTGTCTCGCGCTGCTGCTGTATTCCCACTGTTTATTGCTTTTTCCTCTTGTGGTATTTTGCCCCAACCCATAAGGTCTCATTGGGAGTACTGCCTCATGTGTCACGCACGCGCTCACAATACTGCTACTGCTGCGGCCATTATGGTTTGGTTGCGTACCTTTGCCACTGTTGATAGCGACGACAACAACGACGACGCTGCTGACCACTACGTCTGCACCATCGACAACACCAATGAGCACCGCAGCCACGACAAGTGCTGCAGCCACACCGCCGCCAACAACCACGACCACAACCACGACCACAACCACAACTCGCGCTGCCTGGACATACGTCGAATTCTCCATAGAGGTGAGTGACAGAAAGAGAGAGTTGTGTGTGATTGTGTATGTGTACAAAGGTGTGTGTGTGCGAGAGAGGGGGAGAGAATTTGTGTGTGATTCTGTATGTGTATGTGTGTGTACGCGAGGCTGTGGGTGACCACAGAGACAGGTGTATCTGTGAACACGTGCCCGTGAGATGCTCACACTGCGCACATTTGCACTGCTTTTGGCGTGTTTCCTGTCATCATTAGGGCGATCTCGATGCCATTGAGGACTTAGAGACGTTCTTGCTGCAGCTGCGCATTTCGCTGGCAGAGGCTATGAACACCACCATCTCTGCCATCCAGAACCTTCAGGTGCGCATGTGTATGCGGATTTGGGCAGCGCCATGACAATCATGCACACACACACACGCAAACAGTAGTTACCTTTCTTCAACGTTCTGATCATGTTCGCAACACTTCTTTGACTCTATGTGTGTTGTGCGTGTGCGTGTGTGTGTGTGTGGGTTCTGTGTCGATCAGGTCCGCCGAGGCAGCATCGTTGTTGGCTTCCGTGTTGTAGATGACACGATGCAGCTGCACGAAGCGTCATCCCAAACCATCGTCGATCTCGCCAACCAAGGCGCCTTTGCCTTCTCGTTCCAGGGACAGTCCTACCAGAGCATCCAGAGCTCGGCGTCCAGCACGCCCAATGGCGGCCCACAGGAGTCGTCGTCAAGTGTCCCTGTTGGCGCGGTGGCTGGTGGTGTTGTTGGTGGTGTGGTTCTCATTCTCGTTGTGTTGTTTGCTGTTCTTGTTCATCGTCGTCGCCAACACTCGCGCGACGACGTGGAGAAGTCGCCACTAAAGGACAGGCAGCGATCGTCATTGGTGCGTTCGCTGCCTTGCTCCTTCTTGTGACTTGCTGTGTGTGTGCATGTGCGTGTGTAAATGCTTGCGTGCATGTACGTGCATGTGTGAATTACTTGCGTGCGTGCGTGCGTGTATTTGCATGTGTGAATTCTTGTGTGCGTTTGTGTGTTTGTGCGTGTGCGCGGGTATTCATGTGTTTGTCTTGTCTCATCTTGACATCGTCCATTGAACGTGCACCACGTTCGTTTTCATCCTCCC